AGTCTAGTTATACCACAGTTTGTTTAACCATTCACCCACTGATGGACATCTGGATTTTATCCATTTGGGGACTATTAAAAGTAAAGCTGCTATGAAAATGTGCAGGTTTTGATGTGAGCCTAAGATTTTGTTTCTCTAGGATAAATGCCCAGGCGTGTGGTCACTGGGCTCAGTGGTAAGTATATGTTTAACTCTTTAAGAAACTGCCAGGCTGGTTTTCAGAATGACTGAACCATTTACATTCCCACCAGCAATGTCTGAGAGATACTCACTAGCATTTGGCACTCTCAGTGTTTTTCAGTTTAGCTATTCTAGTACATGTTTCTTGCAGTTTTAATTTGCCTTTCCCTAATGGCTAGCCATGTTGAACATCTTTTCATGTGCATATTTGCATGACATGTTTTGATATCTGGTGGGCAAGTCTGAGGCCGCCTTTCTTATATGCGACCTGCCTTCCCTGATGCTGAGGGGAAGAGCTGACCTTGACTGCTCCCTGAGGTGGGAATGCTCCTATGAGCTCTTCTACGAAGACGAAAGGGCTGGTGATGGTGGTGTCTGGTTTGACCTCAGTGGTTAGGAGCACAAGCTCAGAGCTTCAGAAAGGCTCTGGCAGGAAGAGGATGTGAAGTTTCAGCCCCATATATGCCACCCATCACTCTTCCTCCAGTCCACAGTTCCCAAGACACTTGTAATAAAATCAATGCCTTTGGAGATAGAGTCAGTCACTTGGGTGTTGTGAGGAAGTCAGAGACTGGGCTCACAGTTAAGAATAGTGGGACCCAGGCAAAGGGGACCCAGTCACAACAGGGTCCAAATATTACCTCACCTTTTAGGACTGTAGAAAGAATTGGAAGTGGGGAGCTTGAGTTGTCCCAAAAGGCCTGTGGTTCTCACCAACACTCCAAGAGCAGGACCCAACCCATTTGTTGTGCTCTGCCTAGTGCCCTCACAAGACCTGCCCAGTGCGGGGGGATGGGAGGAGCAGAGCACCTCTGAGCAGTGACTCTGTCCCTGCACCCAGACTCACCCTCTCCCTGAGGGTTGACTGTGAACACAGGGCGGGACCTGTGAGCCAGGTGCTCGTGAAGAGCTAAAGCGCACCCTAGAGGAGTGAACTGGCCCTGACAGAAGCCAGGAGGAATCGGTCTCGTAAATCCTACCCTGGGGGATTTGGAGGGAGGGGTGTCGGGTTCACCCTCTAGAGCAGATAGGATCTGCAGTCCTGTGGCTCACAAGGAGCCTACTAACAGACAGCATATTCCAAAGCTGGACCTTCCCTATGTCTTCCAGGGCAATGATGAATCCCTCCAGAATGTTCCATTTTTACCCATAACCAAAGCCCTCTTCATTATATATCAATTGAATCATTAAGAATTACTAAAAGAGGGTATTCATAAAGTAAAATGAGGTGTGTCTAGAGCTTATTGAACATTGTCAGTGTGACCTCAGGTAAGTTAATTAAAATTTGTTTTTCCATTCCCCGTTCTGTAAAATGGGGATAATAATAGTTCCAACTTCATTGAGACATTGGGGAAGGTCTAAATGTTTAAAACAGTGGCTGGCCCAGAGCATGCATCGCAGAGGTGTTAGCTGTTATTATGACTAAAACATAAGCAGCCACAGCCACTCACACTTCTGGGCACATTGCAAATTCCAGCTGGGCACACTCCCTAGAGAGGGCTGGAATCCCTGCAGCTGTGGAGGGTGTCTTGATCAGGGCTCCCCATGCTTGATCAGGGCTGCCTTGAACTGGTAAGTTTTCCACTGACACTAATCTTCCTATGTTATGGTAAATTTCTGTCGGTTTATCTTTTTATTATCAACATCGTGTGTTCGAAGTGGTTTGGTCAATCCTACAGGATACGATCATGCATTCTTCCATGCTCTAGTTTTTCACATAAAATTTTCTAATAACTAGATTTCCACCCATCGGTGTGTATAGTTCAAACATGGATCATCTTTGCCTCTGTAGTTAAAGCTGATGTATACACCCCCTCCCCCAAGTTTGACTTTTGCTGAACACTTTGCTGCCGTTACTGAGTTATTTAGGTGGGACTATCTGGGCTGCAGGGTTTTCAACCTCTCTTAAATAGTCTCTAAAATACTGGAGACCCCATGCGTGCAGGGCCCAGGAGGGTGGCCCTGCTGTTAAGAACTAGGTACACGAGGAGTGGCATCAGTCTCCCTCTGGAAGGCACCCCAGCTTGATGTAGTATGTAGCGGCAACGGTTCTTGGGCTCCTCCCAGGGACCCCAGCTCCCCAGACTGTCCCCTACCTGACAACAGCTGGCCTCTTCATGGACCCTAGGAGGGTTTATGTACAGAATGCTCACCCATGCACACACACACGCACACCCATACACACAGAGAGGTTTGGACCTGGCTCTGGACATTTCCTCCAATAAGCCTTATCTGACTGATCATACCCAGTGCTAATCCATCTTTTCCTCTGCACTTTGTCTTTCTCTTTCCATTTGTTTCTTACTCTGCTGAGAGAACAGAATCCTGGCTGGGTCAGAGTGCGTCATTTCTGCCCAAGCTATGATAGTAAATCTAACATTTGTACTAAGGCCCATTCACATAATATACCCATTAGATACAACATACTGCATTGAGTGATTAAGGAAGCTAGGCTCAGAGAGGGGAAGCAACTTGTCAGAGGTCACACAGCCAGGCCCGCTTTTGAAGAGCTCTCGGTAGATCACACTGCCTCTAATTAAGATGCTTATTGGTGGCCTAATACCCTAACTAGTGAACTAACTTAACTCCTTTCATGGCTCCTGCAGATGCCAAAGGGACCATCCGGGAAATTGTCCTGCCCAAGGGCCTGGACCTGGACCGACCCAAGAGGACCCGCACATCCTTCACAGCCGAGCAGCTATACCGCCTGGAGATGGAGTTCCAGCGCTGCCAGTACGTGGTGGGTCGTGAGCGCACTGAGCTGGCCCGCCAGCTGAACCTCTCTGAGACACAGGTAAGAGGGAACCAGGCCCCTCCACCTCTGCCCTGGCAGCCCGAAAACTCCTTGGGTGTGAGACCCAACTTTGAATGAGTTCATACATGCATTAGGGACAGGCTTAAAGTTACAGGTAAACCAGAGCAAATAAATACAGTGCCAACAGGAGAAAGTCAGTATATGCCAACGAGGACACCTTCAGGATACATCAGGCAGTTTGAGTGGAATATAGATAAAGGCCAGAGAAATAGGTGGGGGATACTCAAGGTTTAGGGAGTGGCTTAAAGGCATGTCAGCATGTGAGAGGAGCCTGAAGAAAGGGGTTGGATTTGGGGGAGAGATGAGACATTACAAAATTGGATTGGGGACCTCTCATTTCCCCATTCTGGGCCTATTCCTACCCTCCATCACCTTCTCTTCATGCCAACAAGAAACAGCTTCTTGTTGGAGGGGTCTGAACACCCTTTACCCAAGAAGGGCTTAGCATTTTAACAATAGTATGCTTAACCCAAAGGAAACACTTTTGTAAACCGAGTACCTACTCTGTGTGAATGGAGCTATGTAATAACAACAACAGCAATATCAGTACTCATTGTGCCAAGGCACTGTTCTAAGTGCTTTGCACATGTTAATTCTTTAACTCCTTCCAACAACCCTTTGATGTAGCTATCAGTATTATCTCATTTCACAAATGAGGAAAGGTTATCCCCAAGATCATACAACTAATAAGTTCCAGAGCTAGGATTTGGACAGGCAGTCTGGCATCTTTATGCTGTCTACAACTCCTTCCAACAACCCTTTGATGTAGCTATCAGTACTATCTTATTTCACAAATGAGGAAAGGTTATCCCAAAGGTCATACAACTAATAAGTTCCAGAGCTAGGACAGGCAGTCTGGCATCTTTATGCTGTCTACAACTGAGCAGCCATCCTGGAGCTTGATAAAGAATGACTCAGAGACCTTTTGTTTCGCTTCAGTTCTATTAGTTTAATCTCGTATATGAGGGAGATCAGTCAACAGACATATTGCAAACAGCTAGAACAGGATTTATAAAGGGAAGAGAGGAAGGAGAGGAGTAAGGAAGCAGCTAGGCTGGAAGGGGGCACTTCTGGGGGAAGGCTGTGGGAGGATGGGTGAGGCTTCTCCCTGGGCTGCCTGCTGCTGTCCTTCCCCTGGCACCCCAGGTGCTGCAATTAAATCAGAATCCTACCACTTCCCTCATCGGAATTCTTCCAGCTCCTCAAGTTACACTAACAAACTGCTGTCCAGTGCACTCCTCAGGAGGGGTTGGTCAGACGTGCCTGGACGTCCTGGTACCCTCGAGGGGTGAGCAGGCTCCTTCCAGGATAAACTCTGAGTGGGGCAGAGGGAGAGGTGAGAAGGGGCAAGATGGGGTGGAGGGGGGAAGGCGGGAGGATGGGGCCTGCTGGGTGTTGGCTGCTGTCATACAGGCACTGGTCATCTCCACCAGGACTTGTTTTCCTCCAGAGGCCGCTGTAGAGCCCCAAAGAACCCAGCAGATGGCCCTGAGCAGCTCTGCCCTCCCTCCAGCTGGGCTCAGCCTGGGGCTAGAACGCCAGGCTGTGCTCACGGAGGACACTGCAGGAGCTGGGCCAGGCCAGTGCTCCTGAGGGACATAAGAGAGACACTCTCAAACCCTGAAGTCTAGGCACAGAGTCACCCCCCAATACCTGCCTTTCCTCTTTGTCCTAACTGCTCTCGGCCTCCCCTAGTTTTGCCTCAAACTCTCCCTTGAAAGTTTGCTCTACAAGGGCACTTCAGATGCCTAGACCAGCAGCTCCTTCTCAGTCCTCATCCTTCCCCTGCTCTCTCTGCCCCCCAGACACCCTACGTTACCTGCCTTTGAAGGTCAAGGACAAGCTCCTTCTCTTCCAGGAAGCCTTAACAAAGGCACCTTGACCTCCTCCCAAGAGATCTTTTCCACATGGCTTGCCCTGTAATGTGTGTGTGTGGTGTGGTATGGTGGATGCCAACCAGAATGCACTTCCCAAGGACAGGAATGTGCTCGAAGGCCACATCTCTTCAGGCCTCCTTGGGGAGCCCAGCACAAGTGAGCCCTCAAGGAATCTTAACCTTACAGATTATTGCTTATCGGCCTCCTTTCTCTTTCCCCAACCCTGGGATTTTAGAGATAATATAAGGTATAGCTAACATTTATTGAGAGCTTCCTGTGCACCAGGTGCTGTTCTAAGTGCTTGACATGTTCTAACTCTTTTACTCCTCACCATAGCCTTGTGGGATAGGTGTGAGGTTTTTCTTCTAATATCACTTTTGATGCTAAATGTGTGGTGTTTTCCAACACCAACAGTGACCAATTCTCCAGCACCAACTGGGTGTCCAACAGTTAAATTCAGTTTAATTCTTACACTAACTCCTGGAGTTAGCACAGACCCTACAGGTTAAGGGCTCTGTCTCACAGAACAGTCCCACATCAGATGCTAGTCACAAGTCCCAGAAGCTATACTTCTGACCAGCTATAAATTGGGAGTTCCCACATCCCCCTCCTTAGGTTTGATAATTCGCCAGAATGAATCACAGAACTCAGGAAAACACTCTACTCACATTTACACATTCACTATTAAGAATACAACTCAGAAATACCATGTGGAAAAGATACGTAGAGCAAAATGAGGGGGCGGTTCAAGGAGCAACCCTACCCCTTCTGGGTGTGCCACCCTCTCAGCATTTCCATGATTTTGTGTCCACCAACCCAGAAGCTCTCTGGGTCTCATTGTTTAGGAGTTTTTATAACCCAATCTCTAGCCCTCCCCCATTCCCTGGAGGTCAGAGGTGGGGCTGAAAGTTCAACCCTCTAATCACATGTTTGGTTTTTCTGGAACCAGCCCCATCCTGAAACTATCTAGGGGACCACCCTGAGTCACCTCATTAGTATAAACTCAGGTGTTCTCAAAAAGGGCTTGTTATGAATAAAGAAAGATCCTCCTATCACTCAGGAAATTGTGAGGGTTTTAGGAGCTCTGTGCTAAGAAACAGTGAGAAAGACCAAATATATTTTTTATTGTACCAGAACGAGTCTCTATATGTTATTTCTACCCTAAAGAGAAGGAAACAGAGGCACAAAGAAATTAAATAACATGCTCAAAATTTCAAGCGGCCACATTCATTATTAGCTCATCTAATTTTTATAAAAAGATGGCCTTATGAGTAATATCATTCTCATTTCAGAAAACTGGGCCTCAGAAAGGTTAATTAACTTATATAGCTAAGATTTTGTGGAATTCTCCCACACATTCGTTCAAAAATACTATTGAATGGCCACTATGTACAGGTGCTGTTCTAGGCACTAGGGCTACAGCAGAGAAGAAAAGAGACCAGGCATCTGCCCTCACAGTTTGTATCTGGCATAACAAAAATCCAACTGAGTATTAATTTAAAATTTAATTTAATAAAATTAAAGATCTTATTGGCTTTATTGAAAGGGGCAATATCCTGTCTAGTAAGGAGGAAGGAGCTCTGAGGAGCTGTGCAGAATGGAAGGCTTTTCTAGGCAGAAAGAGAAAAGAGAGGATTTTTCAGGCTTATGCACCTACCTGTGGGGGACGGAGGGGGGCCGTCAGGTGTGTTACCTCACTAATGCTGACCAGAAAATTCCAGACCGACTCATTACGATTACATTCCTGGGAGAGGCTGACACTGCCATTATGTTAGGTACTGAGTCTTGTTTTGGTGATGTGGGCTTAGCACAAGTGACTCCATTTTGGGCTTGTTGTCTCTTTTTTTTTTTTTTTTTTTTTTTTTTTTTTTTTTTTGTAGGGGGC